AGGGGGTTGAACCAAGCAACCCCAAAGGACAGCTCCTGCTGCCAGGCTCTCTGCTGCTGCCTCCCACCGCTTTGGCCACACCAGCTACTTAGTAAAAATAGATTTTTTTCTTCTTGGAATTGACAAAAAAAACCACAAACAAATAACAACCCAACAAACCAAGAAACCTTTCTTTGAAGATGAGACAGATTTGTGTTTTCACAAACCCAAGTGTGACCAAAAATACCTGCTTTAAACCCCCAGGCTGATGCCTGGGTTCAGCTCCAGAGGCCACCCCCAAGGCACCAACAAATGCCATTATGGGTGGGTCAGAAAAATGCATACATTGATGTGGACATTCTTTACCCTTGCCTACAGGGCAAGCTGACACTGAGGACTTCATGACACACAATCAACCCAAAATGGGAGGCAGGAACATCTGCCTGGCAGCAAAGAGCAGGAGGACTCCCTCAGATGCTCACCATGCACAGGCACTTGCCACAAAGAACAGACACGTGAGCTGCTGCTCCAGTGGCCTTGAAATCCTCAAAGCTCTGCTCTGGAGACAGGTTGGGAGAGTTGGGGTGTCCAGCCTGGAGAAGAGAAGGCTCCAGGGAGACCTTAGAGCACCTTCCAGTGCCTGAAGGGGCTCCAGGAATGCTGGGGAGGGACTTTGGACAAGGGCAGGGAGTGACAGGACAAGGGGGAATGGATTAAAACTGGAAGAGAGGAAACTGAGATGAGATATGAGGAGGAAATTCTTGAGTGTGAGGGTGGTGAGACCCTGGCCCAGGTTGCCCAGGGAAGCTGTGGCTGCCCCATTCCTGTCAGTGTTGAAGGGCAGGTTGGATGGGGCTTGGAGCAACCTGGTCTGGTGGGAGGTGTCCCTGCCCATGCAGGGGGGGTGGATCTAGGTGATCTTTAGGGTCCCTTCCAAGCCATGCAGCCAGTTTTTCCAGGAGAATGCTGTGGGAAGCAAGGCCCAAGACTTTATGAAAGTCCAGGTAAACAACATTCACAGCCTTTCCCTAATCCACTCAAATGGGTCCCCGTGTCATAGAACGAGATCCAGTTTGTCAAGTAGGATCTGCCTGTCATAAACCCATGCTCATGGGGCCTGATGGCCTAGTTGTCCTGCATGTGCTGCTTGATGGCACTCAAGATTATCTGTTCCATAACCCTCCCCAGCACTGAGGTCAGACTGACAGGCCTGTAGTTCCCTAGATTCTCCTTCCAGACCTTCCTGTAGACGCGGGTCACATTTGCAAACCTCCACTGGGAACCTCCCTGGTTAGCCAGGACTACTGAGAGATGTTGCAAGTGCCTTGGTGAGCACACCTGCCAGCTCCCTCAGTACCCTTGAGTGGCTCCCATCTGGCCCTGCAGACTTGTGTGTGGTGGAGCAGGTCACTAACCATTTCTCCTTGGATTATGGGGTATCCCTGTCCCCATCTTCCAGCTCAGGGGGCTGGGAACCCAGAGAACAACTGGTCTTACTCCTAAAGACTGAGGCAAAGAAGGCATTAAGTACCTCAGCTTTTTCCTCATCCTTTCTCAGTGTGTTTCCCCCTGCATCCAGTAAAGGAAGGGAACTCTCCTCAGCCCTTCTTTTGTTTCTAATATAGTTGTAGAAACGTATTTTATTGTCTTTTATGGCAGTAGCCAGATTAAGTTCTAGTTCAGCTTTGGCTTTTCTCATTTTCTCCCTCTATAGCCTCATGACATCTTTGCAGTCCCCCTGAGTTGCAGGCACCTTCTTCCAAAGGCCATAATGTCCTTTCTTCTTCCCTGTGTTCCAAGCAAAGCTCTCTGTTCAGCTCTTCTTCCCCACTGGCTCATCTTTCAGCACACGGGGACATCCTACTCCTCTGCCTTTAAGACATCCTTCTTAAAAAACTGTCCAGCCTTCCTGGCTGGACTCCTTTGCCCTTCAGGGCTGCCTCCCAAGGAACCAGTCTCCAAAACAGGTCAAAGTCTGCCCTCTGGAAGTTCAAGGTGGCAGTTGTGCTGACACCCCTTCCTTACTTCTCTGAGAATGGAGAACTCTTATCATTTCATGATCACTGTGCCCCAGAGAACCTCCAGCCATCACAACCCACAAGTCCTTCTCTGTTCACAAACAACAGGTCCAGTGGGGAGCCTTACCTAGCTGAGTTCCTCACCAGCTGTGTCAGGAATTTCCACACACGCCAGGAACCTCCCAGATTGTTTCCTCTCTCCTGTACTGCACTTCCAGCAGAAATCTGGCAAGTTGAAGCCCCCCACAAGAACACAGGTGAGCAACCAGCAGACCTTTCCCAGCTGCCTACAGAATATTTTTTCTGCCTCCTTATCCTTGTTGCATGGTCTATGATGGGCTCCTAGAGCAGCCTCTGCCTTGCTGGCCTTCCCCTGGTTCTCACCCATGGACACCCCACCTGATCATCACTCTCATGAAGCTCTAGGCAATCAAAACACCCCCTAACAGCCAGTGCAACCCCCCTGCCTCTCCTCCCTTGCCTGTTTTTTCTGAATAGCTTGTAGACATCCAGAACTGGACTGAGCAGAGCAGAGGGGACAATCCCCTCCCTGGCCCTGCTGCCCACGCTGCTCTTGCTGCAGCCCAGGACAGGGTTGGTTTCTGGGCTCCAGCGCACGGTGCCGGCTCGTGTTGAGCTTCTCGTCCACCATCACCCCCAGGTCCTTCTCCTCAGGGCTGCTGTCAATCCATTCTCCACCCAACCTGTATCTGTGCTTGGGCTGCTCCAGCTGAGGTCCAGGACCCTGCACTTGGCCTTGCTGAACTTCACGAGGTCGGTACGTGCCCACCTCCCCAGCCCGTCCAGCTCCCTCTGGGGGGATCCCACCCCTCT